TTCAGTCAGATGGGAACAGAAAATGACACATTAGACCATCACAATTCTGGATAAGAGAAAAGCACATTTTGAGGAAATTCCAATGTTATCTAACCAACTGTACCAAAACTACTGCTTTTATAATTCCCCTATGCCTACAATATGATGGCCTGTCAGGAGGGATTTTCTGGTAGTTTTAATACCTGGATGACTAAATCTTTTTTTTTTTTTTTTGGGCGTTAGACTGCAGTGCTTTATGCTTTTTGGACTGCCACAACCATCTTTGTATCTAAAACTCAAAATGTCAAGCTTTAGATGGCTTTACCTCAGATTCCCTACTTACTCAACTTCTTTCAACACTGCCCTAATGCCAAATGCCATTCTCTTTGTGGGTGGTATAGTCCACTGTATATCAAACCATCTTGCTCATCCCCCAACATTGACCAATAGCGACCTTACCTTAGACTCCCTGCTTTGTAACCAGTTATTGAATAGGATGTCGAAAGCAGCATAGATTTCACTCGAGAATGTGTCTTTTCTGACTGTGGGATCTGGAGCCTTGTCCAGGTTGGCAAGATACTCCAGGATACTGTCGCTGAAATGACACAGAGCTGGAGGGACAGAAAACTTTAATGTTTTTGGAGGTGAATACCTGAATACTTGGAGGTAGTGTTTCAATAACTTTTGTAGACAAACAATTATGACAATTTAAAAAAGCATGTTAGGGAGGTTCTTACCAGAAGAGAAGACCCATTTCATGTTGTCCTGTTTGGCCATGCTCAACATGGGCAACATAGTGCCCAGAATAGCATTCAGGAAGGGTACCATGCCATAAACTAGAGAACAAGGAAAGTACAGCATTAATGGTATATTATTACTTACTACTTCCTCTGTAAGGCAGGGACACATACACTGTATTTACTTTGCACTGATAATATCACATAGTGTAGATGTGTTTGAGAGCTTATTAGCTCCACTGTCAAGCTGGAACTGTTGTGGCAGGAAGGTTTGGACAACCCCACTTTATTCACAGCATGAAACAAAGACTCAAGTTTAAATTTAGGTTTAATTACATCTGCAACACTTTAAAGACATCGTACACCAGCAAAATGTAGCCAAAACCTACATTGTCTGTTCTTGCTTCACTGTCAGTGTGGATACGATTTATTGAAACTGCTCTGTGATATTTATTTGTTCTTGTCACCATCTGCAGTTCATGCTGCCATAATGCTCCTTTAATCAAAATACTGCTTTAGTAAGGGGGGGGTTAAACTTTGGGAGCAGGACAGAGGATTGGAAATAAATCAGGCTTCACATACCCGACACTAATAGATTGCCCTTACTGTAGCTGGTGTGAGTGCAAGAGCTCCGCAATCAATGTAAAAAATGTCTTATAAACTCCCCAAACCACAAGAGACAGCTCTTAAACAAACCTGTTCTGGTGGTGTGCAAAATCTTTGGTCTGCAAATGCAGTTTATGGGCAGGTTTAACAAGTTCATGTCTTTCTCAACAACCTCTGAATACCTGCTTTGTGAGCAGAAGTTCTGATTTCCTGGTGTGTGTGTGTGTGTGTGTGTGTGTGTGTGTGTGTGTGTGTAAATATTTTCTTACCATTGGAGTCAGAAAGGTTGGCTAGTGTCTGAACCACAAAGAAGTGAGGTAGGAGCCCTGGCTGAAACTTGCTTAGTATCTCCTCCATGATGTCATTGATGTGCTTGTTACCCACAGCAACCAAGATATTACTGGCTGCCTGCTGCCAGTCAGGGATGACCTCCTAAATTAACCAGGAAGACAAAGAAAACAGTAAGGTAGATCATTTAATCATCTTCCCTCGCAAAACATAAAAAACTGAATAATTCACGTCTCATCTTTTACTTTTGATCGTGTCATCTCGTCTGAGGCCAGGGAGATGATACTCTTTATCCTCGGGTAACTGATCTCCTCTATCCTGCAGCCCACAATCAGCTCAATTGTCTGAAGAATCACAACTCTGTGGGTCACTACCAACTAGAGAGGAGGAAGACAATAAGAGAAAGAGGACATGAACAACAGTAAAGAACACATTTAAAATAATAAAACATATAATATGATAGGTAAATGGCAGGGTATTTATTTATCTGCATAAAACAGCAGCAAATTCATCGAGTCTTTCACAACAGAAAAGTAAAATATGACACAGCACATTCAACACAATATAAATAACACTGTCACTGATGTTTCTTCTGACATTTCCTCTGTGTGATGATACCATCATCTGACAATCACAAAGTCAAGGGCTGTGGCATAATAAGATGTTGCAAGACAAGAGTTGAGTCAGAGCTCTGTGGTGAAATTTAAAGTGTTACAAGTAAAACAAATAACTGAATTTAAGGGATATTTTCCCTTTAAAAATCAAGCTACATTAGTGAGTTTTTCAGTTTTGTAGGTAGACTGATTCTATTCTAAAGACCCATACAGGTTTAAATAGAGTTGGACTTTACGTGTTAGTAAATATCTCAATAGAATTAAAATAAAAACATTTTATTTAAACAACATTTATAGCAAAAATGTTTACAGATTAAAAAAAGAAGAAGTCTGTTGTTGCTCTCTTTCTTATTTAACTGTAAAAAATTTTACTATTTATTTCCCTTACATTTTATAGGCAATTTCACAGTTTAAAACAATAATCACCAGATTAATCAATAATGATTTATGCTGCTGACTGCCATCTGTGAAATCAGAAAGCCTCAGACCGAAAGTCAGACTCTCTCTCTCTGACAAATATGCACTAGGCATTGCAATGTTTACGTCTTGTACATGTGTGAAACCTCAAGAGGGAACGTCTTGTCTTGCTGTCTGTATCAGGCTGTGCAACCACACGTTAGGGGCTCTGAGAGGCCTTTAAAGTGTGACAAGGATTAGCAGTAGACTATTGTTAGAAGGGGTTACTGGAGTCAACACAAATCTATAATAAAACTACAGACATTTCCATCATACAAGTACGACTTTTAGTGCTTGCTGCAATCCAGCTTAATGTTTAACAGTTTAAAAGGACACTATTTCCTCCTTTTCCCTTCAGAAATCACAGGAATGGAGGACGTCCCCTACAGCTTCCACTTCAGCAAAGTATGTTTTCTTAGGTGAGAGCTGTTTGACGAAGAGGTGTATTCTTTACCTTTGGGTGTTTCATAAGGTAGTCCTGACACATGGCCAACACTCTGTCAGGCTGCTGTTTTCCCAGGGTCAACATAGACTTTCTGACCTGTTCCTGGACCTCTGCGTCTTTATCTGTGGCTGCATCTAGTAGAGCCAGGGTCACCTCTGGAGGGAAAACACAACAGAACAGAGAACGAGAAGAAGAATTAAAATGTAGAAAGAAGAGAGACACGTAAACACAAATGGCTAGACAAAAATGTCTAATGTCTCTGTGTCAAACAGAGCAAATGAATTAATGTAGCTGAATAGAGGAAGACATATAAGCAAACTGAGGAGAGACTCACGTTCCACATCTGTCTCGTCCATGATGGACAGAAACACAGGGCTGCTTCCTAGAGCCTGTGGCTGGGGATGTAGCTTCCCTCCTGGGGTACAGATGGACTGAGGCTGCCTGCAGCTATGGGACGGAATATGGAAATATGGATATCAATAAACCATGGCAGTAAGTCAATGCCATGCTATCTGTCACTTACATTTTCTACGCTCAACCAACCTGCTCAAACCACTTATAAGTGTCTATGAACTCTACCACCAACTAACACGAAATAAAGCTAACAACTATAATAACCTTTAGGATTACGAAGCTGTATAAAGATGACACTAAAATCATTTAATTCAATACAATATCTAAGTTTAACCTGCTCGGGTGGTGATGCTGCAGCAGCAGCAAGCTAACGACTGAGACAAGTTAGCATGCTAGCCTAGCAGCCGCTGCTACGGAAGAGCCGACTGCGTCCTCACGTCACAGACTGGAAGAAGAAAACACAGCCAGCCTCGCTGATAAAGATAACTTACCAAGTGTCAGTGAGAGTCCGCTCAACAATATCCTCTCCTGACAATGTCGCTTCGTCGGTCGGGTTTGAACAACAGGCGTCCCTGTCAGTGATACAGTCGCTGTTAGCTGTCACTGCAGGTGTAAACACGCCTGGTCATGTGCTTGTAGTCAGCAGGAACGTATCAGCCACTGGGCGGACCATCGGGGGCGGACCATCGGGGGCGGACCCGGGGCACCACAGCACTGAGACACATAGAGCTGCTGTTCAACCTCCACTGGTGCTGCCACTGTCTGCTATATGGAGACTGCTGTTACAGTCACACTCACTTTTGTCGTGTTTGCTTGTGTCATCCATCACTGATTCATCCAGGTTTTCACTGGCTTAATATGTGGAGGATCCAAAGGGAAGAGTAAAACTAAATAATGATAAATAAATGGCTCAATAAATACATTAATATGACATTAAATGCAACAAAATATATAGCTATAAAAAAAATGCAGGAATCAATTTATAATTTTGGATTTATAATGTGACAAAATATATTTTTACTATATTAATTAGGCTCATTTATTAATTTTTAAATGTATTAATTTATTTACTGCTCTTTAGTCCATGTTCTAGGTTTGAGGAGGTTCCAGGTTTTACTCACTGCAGATGTCACTCAATAGCCATCCATGTGAAATACCCCTCAGGTTAACGTCAGGGATCTTATCAAATAGAAATGACCACAATAGACCACTGACCTATCTGATCATTGATAAAACACAGTCATCAATCCTACATGATCCTGACAAAAGTCCTCTTGACTTTACAATAATGTGACAAATGTATTTATTTGGCTATGAAGCAAGGATGTCTTGATGCGTGCCTCCACTCCCCCTGTCTCTATCTCCCCCGCTCACTTATCTATGGCGAGACCATGGGTACGAGTCCCACCTACTGCCTATAACCTCCCTCTCTGTTGTCCATCGTGTGCTGTGCTATCAAATAATGGCAAATAATAACCAAAATAACATTAACCACAGACCCCTGCACAAAACAATCTCGGGTGGGAGGGACTAATCAGACGCGCACAAAAACAGTCTAGGATGTACACTTTGTTCTCTTTATGTGACTTCCTACATTCTCTGTCAGATATATTTCTGTACACCAGTCCTACCGCCTCGATGCGGGACAGTCTTGGCAAGAAAGACAGTAGGATTCACAGTTACAGGTGTGGAGAGTCGTTGACGGACAATCAGCGGTAAGTTTTTCCATTTTTTCACATTTACACGCATTGTGCGTATGGGCACCAAAACAGCCTGATGACTATTAATCATAATAATGTTAAAGTTATATTCAGTGCGCAGCGCGTAAGCGCGTATAGCCTAATAAAAAAAAAAAAACTATGCTGAGAGTTGTCTGCCAAGGTCACACAAATACAGACACACACACACACACACACAATTATGTGAAAATGCATAGTTTAGTCAAATAACACAGACTGAGGAGATTTTAATTTCAAACACATTTTAACAACTTTCTACCAGTTTCTAACTTCCAAGTACTAAACCGTGGGGTCACTACTTCCCTGAGATTCTGGAGGCCATTTCTCAACTTCCTCTTGGTTCAAAATGCAGCAGGCTAGAACTAACTTTCGGCCCCACATTAACCCTGTTCTTCATCCGTCTATTGGCTTCCTGTAAAATTCACAATCAACTAAAATATCCTGCTGATTACATATAAGGCACTGCATGGCCTTGGCCCCAGTTACATTTCTGATCTCCTACTGGTTCCTTATTCCACTTGAAGATAAAATAATTTCATTGTTGTATTTGTAGTTTTACTTCAGTGAAGTATGTGTGTTAGGATCTCTGCTGGAAAACACCCAAGACAAGACAATCAAGTTCAACCCGCTCCCTCAGAGACATTAAACTATTAAATGTAACTCTAAGCAACAAGTTCTCTTTAGAACGTCTTCAGCATTTTACAACACTGATATGAAACAGAGAGAAGCAGGCCACAGCATGATATAGTAGACTTAGAAAAAGAGAAACATTTAAAATGTTGAAGAACTCAACTAAGTCATTAAAACAAAAGTGAATAGTGATATCAATCCCAAAGAAGGGCAAAGAACTAGAATTACTGCCCTGCGGTCATAATAGCCCATAGATGTGGCATTCACAAGGATCGGATGGACGGACAACCCAAGAACATAATGCTTCCAGTCACGGCTGTCGCCAGTACAGAGGCTAAAATGATGGTGAGGAATGATGGGAAATAATGTTTGAGCTCTCCCAACAGGTTGTTGTATTTGTGTGGGCTCTGCTATGGATCAGTGGGAGGACAGAGAGGTGAGAGTCCCTCCCTCTAAAAGCATCAAAACTCAGAGGTGAGATGAGGATCTCTAATACCCAGATGTTAGTGGGGTTTTTTGTCCGGTGTGAAAGGGGCTTAACTGTCCAAGCTGTCTCCATGTCAAAGCTCCAATCACTCCTCACACCATCATTATTCACCCTACCTGTGTGTTTTGTTGAAGTCCAGAGAAGCAGCACACATCAGACTGTCCTGGACCTGGATCTGGACCTGGACCTGGATATGGATCTGAACTTAGGCCTGAACCCAGCTGTGCGTCCATGAAGAGTGATCTGTCCATGGAGCCTCCTCTTGCTTTTAGACAATCTGCTGACAGAAGGTGAGAATTTAAAACTGACAAAAATGTTATTTGTGACATTTGTTGTCTGTATTAAAATATTGAATATATTTTTCATTAGTTTTTATCCAACATGCACATTTATTTGAGCTGTTTTTATTCTAGGATCCAGCAGCAGAGACCATACTCTCCTGAACCCAGCGGTCTGTCCTTCAAGAGTGACCAGTCGAAACAACATTTCATTGAATTTAAAGGACAACCTCCATCTACTGATCTGACGTAAGCGGTAACTGACAGTAAAAATGGCATTATGCTAGTTAAGTCAAGTCAAAAGTTTATTTTATATACAATACATCTATATATATATATATATATATATATATATATATATATATATATATATATATATATATATATTATAATTCACTGAACTGTTCTTGTGTGCCCACTTGTCTGCATTTGGGTCTTGTTGCCTAGTATTCATCTGCCTGACAATCTGGGAGCTGCCCAGCACAACCACCTTGATACAAGCAGATATTGAACAGCTCTCACCTGCAGCAAATCTCACAAGATTTATGTTGGGTCCCTTGGGATCCCAATCCTAATGCAGTTCCCTAACTCCAGGGCACTCCAGCAGTGTACAGTGACAGAGGGAGAGGTAAATGCAGTGGTTTCTGAGACTAAACCAAACAGGTAAAGCAAAACACTAAGCTGAGAGTTACAAACAGCGGCTGATTCAGCTGTTGATTCTTAATGGGATCAGTGAAACTATTAAAGCTTTACCACTACAGGGAGTCATCTGATTTACTGTTTGCATCCAGATATTACTTTATTGACCTTTTACTTGTGTTTGTCGCTGTGGGGACTGACATAATGTGAGCTAATTCCTCCTGATTCATCCACAGAGTCGACCAGGAGAGCTCAGAGGTTCCCAGTGGTCAGTCTTCCCAAGAGCATCAAACACACCTGGACTCCATATTTATGGTCTGTACATGTACAACTACTTTTACATCTATTCTGTTCACAATAATCTCCATGCTGAACTTTTTAGACCAGCAGATTGTCCGTCTGTCCAACATGGATGTGTCATATAATATTATGTCCAGCTGCTGGAGGAGAACATTGTCACTTTTGTGAAGAACGAGCTGAAGAAGACCCAGAAGTTTCTGAGTCCAGATTACCCAGAGTACTCAGATAGTCAGAGGGAGAATGAGGAGGTGTTGGATAATGAGGAGGAACAGCAGAGGAGGAGCAGCAGAGAGGCATTTCTGAAGATCACTCTGTACTTCCTGAGGAGAATGAAGCAGGAGGAGCTGGCTGACTGTCTGCAGAGCAGTAAGAGGATTTCTTTAAAGATTTAACATGCTTGATAAATGGAACATGTACTAATATCTCAAGAGATGGACCAAAATATATTCATAGCTCATTATTTGAGTAAAATATTACTTTTTTTTTTTTTTGTTGTGTGTTCATTCAGAAACATTTGCTCCCGTTTGTCAATGTGAACTCAAGTATAACCTGAAAAAGAAGTTCCAGTATGTGTTTGAGGGTATTGCTAAAGCAGGAAACCCAACCCCACTGAATCAGATCTACACAGAGCTCTACATCACAGAGGGAGGCACTGGAGGGGTCAATGATGAACATGAGGTCAGACAGATTGAAACAGCATCTAGGATACTAGCCAGACCAGAAACAACAATTAGAGAAGAAGACCTCTTTAAACGATTGCCTGGAAGAGAGGAACCAATCAAAACAGTGATGACAAAGGGAGTGGCTGGCATTGGGAAAACAGTCTTAACACAGAAGTTTACTCTGGACTGGGCTACAGACAAAGCCAACCAAGACATACAGTTTACATTTCCATTCACTTTCAGAGAGCTAAATCTGCTGAGAGAGAAAAAGTACAGCTTGGTGGAACTTGTTCATCACTTCTTTACTGAAACCAAAGAAGCAGGAATCTGCAGGTTTGAACAGTTCCAGGTTGTGTTCATCTTTGATGGTCTGGATGAGTGTCGACTTCCTCTGGACTTCCAAACGAATGAGATCCTAACTGATGTTACAGAGTCCACCTCAGTGGATGTGCTGCTGACAAACCTCATCAGGGGGAAACTGCTTCCCTCTGCTCGCATCTGGATAACCACACGACCTGCTGCAGCCATTCACATCCCCCCTGAGTGTGTTGACATGGTGACAGAGGTCAGAGGGTTCACTAATATACAGAAGGAGGAGTACTTCAGGAAGAGATTCAGAGACGAAGAGAAGGCCAGCACAATCATCTCCCACATCAAGACATCAAAAAGCCTCCACATCATGTGCCACATCCCAGTCTTCTGCTGGATCACTGCTACAGTTCTGGAGGATGTGTTGAAAACAAGAGAGGAAGTGCTGCCCAAGACCCTGACTGAGATGTACATCCACTTCCTGGTGGTTCAGACCAAACTGAAAAACATCAAGTATGATGGAGGAGCAGAGACAGATCCACATTGGAATCCAGAGAACAGGAAGATGGTTGAGTCTCTGGGAAAACTGGCTTTTGAGCAGCTGAAGAAAGGCAACCTTATCTTCTATGAATCAGACCTGACAGAGTGTGGTATTGATGTAAAAGCAGCCTCAGTGTACTCAGGAGTGTTTACACAGTTCTTTAAAGAGGAGAGAGGACTGTACCAGGAGAAGGTGTTCTGCTTCATCCACCTGACTGTTCAGGAGTTTCTGGCTGCTCTTCATGTCCATCTGACATTCATCAACTCTGGAGTCAATCTAATGTCAGAAGAACAATCAACCTTCCAGACAACTGAAACAAGAAAAGATAAATCTGCAGAGACTCACTTCTACCAGAGTGCAATAGACAAGGCCTTAGAGAGTCCAAATGGACACCTGGACTTGTTCCTCCGCTTCCTCCTGGGCCTTTCACTGCAGACCAATCAGACTCTCCTACGGGTCTTCCTGCAGAGAAGTAGCAGCACACAGACCAACCAAGAAACAGTTCAGTACATCAAGAAGATGATTGACGAGGATCTGTTTCAAGAGGAAAGCATCAATCTGTTCCACTGTCTGATTGAACTGAATGATCATTTTCTATTGGAGGAGATCCAAAAGTACCTGAGTTCAGGTTTTTTCAGACTGAATCTCTCTCCTGCTCAGTGGTCAGCTCTGGTCTTCATCTTACAGTCATCAGAAGAAGTTCTGGACGTGTTTGACCTGAAGAAATACTCTGCTTCAGAGGAGACCTTTCTGAGGCTCCTGCCAGTGGTCAAAGCCTCCAACAAAGCTATGTAAGTACAGAGATAATTGGATTTATATATCATAATTGAAATACTCTGCTGTATTTTCAATTTACTGCTTTTTAATAAATGTATTATTTTCTCTACAGACTGAGTGGCTGTAACCTCACAGATATAAGCTGTGAAGCTCTGTCTTCAGTTCTCAGCTCCCAGTCCTCTAATCTGAGAGAGCTGGACCTGAGTAACAACAACCTGATGCGTTCAGGAGTGAAGCTGATGTCTGCTGGACTAAAGAGTCCACACTGCACACTGGAAACTCTCAGGTGAGATCAAGTTAGTTTGTATTCAGTTATTTGAAATGTTTCTCTAAACTGTCAGCTCCATGAAGTGAAAACAGCCTCTCCCATGTTAATTCTGAATCTCTGAATCTGTTAAGATTTGAACTGATTTCCAGCATCATTATCAAAGAGGATTACATTTGAACACAAATGTTATTTGTCTTCTTGTTAATTACTGTCTCTTCAGACTGAGTGGCTGTAAGATCTCAGAGTGGAGCTGTGGAGCTCTGTCTTCAGTTCTCAGCTCCCAGTTCTCTACTCTGAGAGACCTGGACCTGAGTTACAACAAACTGACGGATTTAGGAGTGAGGCAGCTGTCGGCTGGACTAGAGAGTTCACACTGTACGCTGAAGACTCTCAGGTCAGATCAAGTTACAGTTTGTCTTATTATTTCAGATAGTTCTCTCACTGATTTCTCTAATCTTAAACAGCTCCTCTCAGTCATTATCTCTGAATCTCAATAATGATCCATCAAAATGGAAAAAATAAAGAAATTTCATAGATAAGAGATTATTTATTTAATGTCTGTCTCTCCTTAAAGTCCCTGTAAAAAAAAAGTGTTCAGTCTGTCACAGCTAGTTTGAGCCAAGACAGTGCTGCAGATACAGCTAGAATACATCACCGCATAACCACCATCAAGCTTAACGTTACATTTGTCTTATTTGCAAACTAAACACTGGACACATAGGTAGTAATGACATGCAGCTAGGTCAACGTTACATAGCAGTTGAGTAATAACAGAGTCTTTCCTTGGTCTTGAGACACACTGTAGTCTATACTGCACATTTACTGCCACATTGACAACTTACTTCTAATCTGTTCCTGTGCTACGCTTGAAGTTAAAATCATTAGTAGCCCATTTATATTAATGTGCTAAGTGTACTAAAATTTTGCATACTTTTGTGTACTTGAAGCCACACTAATCATCATTATACTTCGTGTGCTCATGATTAGTTAACTTGAAGCATGCTATTTTGGAACAACTAATTTTGTACTAAATATATTTTAATTATAATTAGAAAGTAGAAAAGCTCAACTTGAAGTGTATTTAGTGTACTTTAAGCGTATGGCTTTATATGTACTAATATATACTTAATTAGTCAACTTAAAGTATACTTTGTTTGTAGTATAAGTACATTAAAAATTATTTATTAGTGTCCTAAAAATATATAAGCTTTATACTTTCAATATATTCTTACTGTGCTAATAATATACTTAATTATACTTTTGGCTTATTCCAATTACTAAAAAAGCATACTTTGCAGTTAATAGTCAATATACTTTATCATATTGCTATATTACTTTCTACCTTGCACATACTTGCAAATGTATTACCAGTACACTAAAGGCTGAAAAACTTGTGGGACTACTTCCAGGTGAAAAAATATACTTTAATGTACTTGTACCATATCCCAATTAGAATAGTACATTGTAAATACAAAAAACTTGTACTATCTCTTAACATTTATACAACAAATGTATGAACATTTACATTATGGCTTTAAAACATTTTCAAATATTGGTACTTTAGTACACCTTGTAGAAATAGGTCCATTTCAGGCAGCAGACCTAAGCATTACACATAAACTTTACAGAACACTGAGAAATAGTGAACAATGAAAAACAACATTCCTTATTATTGCACGTCTAACCCCTCCCACCATACAGAAACACACACCACACATTACGCTCCCTTTTTTTGGCTGAACTGCTCATTGTTACACCTTCGTCTGATGGCCGCGCGCACATCAGAGACACTTGTCTGTGGAAACTCCAGAAGAACAGCGTCTGTTGACCGAATAGACAAGAGATAATGTAAGTCACGCAGCATATTCATAGTATTTTGAACAGTACATCAAATGGGTATTCCAGAAAGGAGGTTCAACAAACTCGAAGCCTAACCCTGAACTCTGAGTTGACTTAATCTGTGAAGTGAAACTCTGAATATAGGCTATAAAAACAGTCTTGTGATTACTCCTCACTCTGGTTTTATTCATATTCTGCATATTAAACAAGGTAAACGTTTATTCAGTGGATATTTCAGCTTGTAGCAGCTTTTACCACCAACCGATACCTACTGATTAACACACATCCTGTCTCCTAACATCCTGCTGAGTAAATGAACATGTGGAAGAAGGCAGAGGTGGTGGTCACCTCCGCCTCCACCACGTCTGACAGAGGCAGAGGAGCTGGTCCTGAGTCAGGTCGCTGGGTGACCAGAGGCTGAGGGCGTCACTCACCCCCAGGACCCAAGAGGCAGACACACACTTTTATCTACAGATAGTACTAGAAGTTATTTAGTATTATCCTAAATGCGGCAGCAAATTAGAAACATGTACTTTGAAATTGCGTTGTTGAAGGCAATGCAGGCTGATGGTTAGCCTACTTTTGTTTCATGTTCTGACATGTCAACCCCTCTAATTCCAATCTGAACACCCACCGTGAAGGGATGACATGATTTCATTCGTTCCAGGTGCCATGCCATGACCAGTATTATCATCTGTCAGCTTCTTCAACAGAGAATGAGAAATGAGAGAAGAATCACATTAAACTTCATTAAAGTACAATAGACATTTACAGAACAGCAGATATAATGTTGTGTTCATTTTGTATGTTAGAGATTGTGATTATTTTATGCTTGTTTTTCTGGATCCCACAACAGACAAACACTACAGTTTGTCCAGCTGTCATGCTGACTGACTGATCTGTGAATGACAATCTGACAGCTGTGATCCAATCCTGTGCACACTTTGTAGGTCAATTAAGATTTATGATTGTAATTATAATAAATGCTGTTCTAAAGGCACTATATAAATAAAGTTTTTTATTATTATCATTATTTATCATTATTTGTTATTAGTGACAATATTTTTAGACACACATGTGTGCATGCGCATGCTTTTGACTTCTATACTTTATTTCTCAAAGGAAATACAGTATGTTTAAAGGACACTATTCTAATCCACACTACTGTGTGGGACAAAACATTAATGAAAGGTGTTTGAAAATTATTATTTTGCTGAATATATTAAATAAAAGTAAATTAAATACATTATGCTTAATTGGCATGCACATGACAGCCAAAAGGAGTTTATATGTGAAAATAAGATATGTAACAATTTGAGATTAAGTTTTCCATGCAGTTGGGTGTAAGATCTCTGACCTATTCATTCAATATAATATAATTTTACCATAATAATATAATATTCAATATAAATGTACTTGCCATTCTCTGGGCTGAGGAGAAACCCAACTCTTCATCTGAGGCATGGTCTTGAAACTTTAAAAAGTGAAAAGAGAAAATAGCTGTGAAAAGCAATACAACAGAGAAATTATTTTTGTCTGATTGTCTGAGAGTACACAACAGCTGGGAAAGAAGTATGACCTACAATGTCATGCCGTTGTGGACTTCCTATGTATGTGGCGTCATCAGAACTTGGACTGGATGCCAGGGGTAAAAGCACATGTCTTGCTGCCTTGTTAATCTTTGCTTGCTTTCCCTGAAGAAAAACGTTTATATGGTAAAAGTAGGAAAATGATTAGTTATATCCTGAAATTTGAGTTGTACTAGAAACAACAATATTTAATTAAAGCTGCAAGCAGCGTTGGGCGGGACCTCGCACTCCACGCAACTCGGGGCGTGCTGCAGTCGCGTCACGTGCCGTCGTTACACGTGCAGACCAAAACATGAAATTTAACGTAAATCAGCTCATAATTGCCACGCAGCGCTTACTTCCTGTTGCCAGTAGGTGGCGCTATCACTATGTCTGAATATTGTCACGTAGACATGTTCAAGGCGAGACTGTTATCAAACACGTCAAGTTTCATTGAGATTGGACCACGTACGCTGAAGTTATGAGGACGTGTTCAGGGCAAAACTGTTTCAGAATATATGAAGTTTATTGGAGATTGGACATTGCACGCTGAAGTTATGAGTACTATTTTATGGCGAATCTGCTGAAATCGACAAGTTGTAACTGGCACGCGGTTTGATGTACAGTCACAAATAGCTCAACTTTTCAATCAGTTTGTATAACCACAGAATTAAAAGTGGGCAACTTTGACCTCACGCCACGGACACGCCCTTCAACGTACAAGCACAAATAGCACAACTTTTAATCAGGACCATTTTTTGACTGTACTGACCAATTTTCAAGTAGATCCAATAAATTCCCTAGGAGGAGTTCTTTCAAATACAACGCGAAAGATTCACCAAAAATGCGCACAGAATTAACTATGGCCAACTTTGAGGGCACGCCATGGACACGCCCTTCAACGTACATGCACAAATAGCAAAACTTTTAATCAGAACTATTTTTTGACTGTACTCACAAATTTTGAAGCAGATCCGACAAATTCCCTAGGAGAAGTTTGTTCAAATACAACGCGAAAAGTTCGCCGAAAGTGAAAATCAAAATCAAAATGTCCGACTTCCTGTGGGGTTTCGGGTATGGGTCTTAGAGGCTTTTTTGTACGTCCCGGCATGTTACATGTGCCTACCGAGTTTCGTACATATCGGGTTTTCTATCCTGTAGGGGGCGCTACAAACACAACAAACGCGATTTTTGGTATGTGAGCTTCAGGCACCACTCTACACATGCCCTGTGAATTTCATATTCATAACTATAACGGTCTCCGCACAGTGATTTACCATGCCACCAAACCGCCACCTAGTGGCGGATTGTTGACACATTTTTTAGTGAGCCTCAGGGAGCCATGGGGAAGCATCGTACCAAGTTTCATCTTAATCACACATACCGTTGTAGAGATATAAACTTCTTCATTTTAAAGAGTGCCACCTAGTGGCGATGGCCTGAAATTGTGCACGATGCTTAAGAAAGACATGTGGCACTATAAACCCAAGTTTGGTGTCAATTGGACATACCAATGTGGACAAATGGTCCACTTCCTTTTTTGACGAAAAATCCACAGGAAGTTCTAATTTTATAACGTGCTGGTTTTTTGAAATATCAAATTTCTGTTAATCTCTTTTTATTATGAGGGTCCTCAGATGATACTTTTGTGCAAATCAGACAAAGCACATGGGGGGAACACGGAAAGTAGTTTATGGACATTTCGCGCTCTAGCGGAGAAAAATTATAGGCGGAAGTGGGCGTGGCCTATATGGGGAGATTAAGCTCTATTCACCAAATGCGTGGATACAAGGGTTTTGAATGTGCGACAAACTATGCAGAAGCTATTAGCCTAAACGCACTTTTTATGATACTAGCGCCACCTAGTGGCCAACCCAAAAGCGACCCATAGAATATCCCCATTTTTACCAGGCCTGACAACTTTGCCAAATAAAATTGACTTTTCATATATGTTCAGGGGGGCAAAAATGCAGTCAAACGGGGCTAAAAATAATAGGTAAGAAGAAGAAACATAGCAAATACAATAGAGACCTCCAGCGGTCGCTGGCTTGGTCCCTAATTAGAAAAAAAGATATAACACAGCGGTTGATGTTGGCATTAACTAAAATTGTAGTTGAGTTTTTAAAAATTAAAATGGACAAACTACCTTAATAATTAACACAAATTAGGTGATTCACAAGACTAAAAGATTCTGTCCAATATTCCTCAAATCAAGACCTTTTAGTGAAGTGTCTGAGGGACACCACAGTGTTTGCTGTTGTAAACTTTGTAGCCCCCTGCTCAAGAAAGAAGTATGCCTTACCCCATGATTACGTTGTGGAGATTCATTCTCAGAACTGTAGAGGTGATCTTGTGTGTCCAGGGCCTTTTCTGAGACAGGGAAGTCTTCAGGTTTTGTAACACATGGTCCCTGGCTGCCTCTTTAATCCTGGTTTGCTTTGCCTGTCAAAAATGTTTATAAAGTAAAAATGTTGGCGACAGAAAGCTTTGTGTAATCAAGTTGACATTTTAGATGTCTTCTTATTTAAAGTTCCCTTAATTATCTCACCACCCCTCAGATATAGCATATTTTGGTGTCTCTGAACATAAAAATGCATGTAGTAGTTGAATCTATCTGTAGACCTACCTCTGGCAGCTACAACAACAAAATACTGCTACATCGAGATGTTTCAGTATTTTTCATCTAATGTTGTCTTATATAACGATACATCAGTCGGAGGGAGAAAATCAATACATTTACTTTGATAGTTTAGCTACATTTTACTGCACATATTTATGCACTTTAACTTGAGTGGGATTTTCCATGCATTATTTGTAATGGAGAATTTTAGCATTGCTTAACTGTTTAACTGCCCAGATATCCTTACCGAGAAGGAAGAAATTCTTCTTCGACACAAGTTATTTGTAAGAATCTGATATAACGAGAAGAGTACAAAAAAAAAGTTTAGCCTAGACATTTTTCCTAACAACGACCAAATTAAACAGTTAGCTGCTAGCTAGCTGACCGAGTTGGAAAAATAATAGGTATTCAGAATACCTATTACCCATTACCGTATTCTCCATACTTGCCTCCAAATAAAAGCACCTTAGCAGGCACCGTCCTGTTTGGTTCTTTTCTCGTTGGCCATTTTATTTCAATCCAGTTTGCGTCGTCATCAAGGTCTGGCTGGGATGCCACTTGGGTGAACTGGTCGCTACCAAGAATGAGCGACGTACTTTCCACTTTAAGTGTTTTATCAAATAAGTAGCAGACGGCGAATTTGAACATTGTATCCTCCTAACCTGCAAACCTGCTTTCAATCGACTGACCTGACCTCGCTCAGATGCAACGGATGTCGGATGAGAACGTCCGCAGCTCTGATTGGCTGAAAGTGAAAAACGAAACTGATGCACTTGATTGGTCAGACACTGTCATAATACAGTTACTATACAAAATCATCATGCCAGCAAAACGAAACTTGAAGAGACATTTGAATTCTGACGAGACTCAACCAGAGATGCCAAGCTTTTGAAGTGTGCATTTAATGTTTTGTTTAATGTCATTTTGTGTGTAAGATGTATTGTATCATATTTTTTTGCCAAACTGATTAAACATTACAGAACAGCTGCAATAATTGCTATCTGTGTACTTTGCACACAGCACAACATTTCATAAATGGGTTTAAGTGCATTTTCATAGTAATACTACTGAACACTTTCTAACAGAATGTCCTGAAGTACTAGCGTGAATAACTTCACTTCATAATTAGACTCAAATGTAACTTAAAATACACTCAAACTTAATATTGCAAAATCAATTATCAAAAATATGTGTAAAAACAAATTTCAAATAAGTACACTTTAGAAAGTACACATAAATTTCACTTAAAGTATGTTTTAGTATAATATATTTCTATAAAGTGTGATATAGTATAATTCTTTTAAAGTGTGTTCAAAGTGTTAGCGTGAAAGCGTTATGCTAGTATACTTTTTATATATTTACAAAAAGTACAATTTGTTTAAGTACATTTTCAACATACTATCAGAAATATAAATATACTTGAAATACAATAAAGTAAATTTTTTTTCCGCTTGGGCAGCCCTCTGATCATGGGAATGAGAGGTGAACAGTTTAAAAAATGTAAGATTTCTCACAAAAATAAATGCTGGTTGGTGGATCAGATAAACGCCAAACATATACTCTGACTCATAACACTGTTAATTGACCGTCTATCGTGTGTATGACGGTGTTGAGGAGTTTTTACCAAAGTAACTACCTGGTTTGCCTCCTGTTTGGTGCTGGAGAGAGCGCAGCCACCTTTACAACAATATTAGTCATGTTTGACAGACAGAGTTTCATGACCACCTTAGATGTTTGAGGCCAACATTTTCTTTTTGGGGGTATTTTTGACTTACTCATAATTAACTGCAAGGATTTTAGCCAACTAAAACATTTAGATTTCCAATTTAAATTTCAGTCACTGAAAATAAGTTTCTTACTTCTTATTTGTTTTTTTGTTTTTGTAGCGCAAGCTCAGGTCTTTGTTCTTCCAGATTCTACTTCAGTCCAGACTCATTACATTTGAACAATAATGATGTTTTTGTTCTTGTTGATTGTTATATCTACAGACTGAGTGGGTGTAACCTCTCAAATAGAAGCTGTGAAGCTTTGTCCTCAGTTCTCAGCTCCCAGTCCTCTAGTCTAAGAGAGCTGGACCTGAGTAACAACAACTTGCAGGATTCGGGAGCCAAGCTGCTGTCTTCTGGACTAAAGAGTCCACACTGTACACTGGAAACTCTCAGGTCAGGATTCATCAACCAGTTCAACTTCAGTTAAATCCTGATTTACATTGAGATTGTCTCTGCTTATGTGATTTCAAAACATTTGTGTTTATTTAGTCTCTTTCCATGAACATGATTTATGTTGTTTTCTCACTCGGTTGTTGGAACTTGAAATATCAGAATATCAGAGAGCTGCCGGTAATTTTCATATTGTTGATGGACATCAGTGGGTAGTGGGGATATATGCCACATTGAAGTGGTATACAACATCTGAAAGCTGGGAACCTGAAGACCAGCATGACATGGTTGGCACCAGTGGATGCCTTAGGTCTTCTAGTTTCATATACCGTAGTATCTTCTTTCTGGCTTTAAAACTGAGCACGCTACAGCCTCTAAGCTGCTAAGACAGTAAAGTTGGCCGAGGATGCCTCACAGTGTCCTTAGATTATGTGACGTGTTGTTTTGTGTTTTGTTTTCAGTCTGTCAGGTTGTCTGATCACAGAAGAAGGCTGTGTTTCTCTGGCCTCAGCTCTGAGCTCCAACCCCTCACATTTGAGGGAGCTGGACCTGAGCTACAATCATCCAGGAGACACAGGAGTGAAGACACTGACTGCTGGACTGGAGAATCCACGCTGGAGACTGGATACTCTCAGGTATGGAGAGCCAAATGAAGAGGCAGGTCATAAAGAATTGTAGAAGAAGTAGTTATCAGATAGGACTCTTAATTAAAACGGTCAAATGCATGACATACGTAAAAAATTGTAGGGTACTGCAGCCACTCTTTATTTTTGAGTTTTTTAATGAACACACAGTATGTGTCAGTGAGATACAGACAGAACTTGAAGAGACTCGAACTATGCTTTTTTTCACTTCCAGATCACAAATAATAAAAAAACAAAAAAATCATTAACTGTTGCTGGGAGACACGATGTGATGTGGTTGCTGAACAATGATACATTCTGAGATCTTATTTTCTGATAAACAATAAGTGAAAATAACGAGTTGTAGTCATTGATGAAATAATATCAGCTAATTAATTTTAAGTGCTACTTATGAAGATATAAATATATTTGTAGAGAATAACAAATATCTGTGTAAGAGAGCAATGTAATGTTTGCATGCTGAAAGAAGATGTGCTGGTCTGATCCCTCTCCTCCCTTCAGGGTGGAGCCTGGCGGAGTCCAATGGCTAAGACCAGGTCTGAGGAAATGTAAGTGTGTTTTTAATTTGATTCAGACAAAGCAGCACACATCGACCATCTTCAAACTGTGACATCACTCATTCAGATCAATTATGCCATGGGCCATCATCAATGTCGATAAATGAGTAGATGATAGATTAATAACTGCAGCTGCACTGTGTCTATCCATCAGATTCCTGTGAGCTCACCTTCGACACAGACACAGTGAACAGGAAGATCAAACTGTCTGACGATGGCAGGAAGGTGACCCGCGTGAGGGAGGATCAGTCATATCTTGATCATCCAAGCAGATTTGACTGGTGGCCTCAGCTGCTGTGTAGAAATGGTCTGACTGGTCGCTGTTACTGGGAGGTTGAGTGGAGCGGAGAGGTTTCTATAGCAGTGGCTTACAGAGGAATCAGCAGGCGAGGAGACAGAGCTAATTGTGTGTTTGGATGGAACGATCAGTCCTGGAGTCTGGTCTGCTCTTATGATGATTACTCTGTCAGTCACAATAACAAAGAAACATGCATCTCCTCTCCCTCCCCCTCCTCTAACTCTGTCTCTAACAGAGTAGCAGTGTATGTGGACTGTACTGCGGGCACTCTGATCTTCTACAGTGTCTCCTCTGACACACTGTTTCACCAACACACCATCAACACCACATTCACTGAACCTCTTTATCCTGGCTTTAGGCTCTGGTCTGACTCCTCAGTGTCTCTGTGTTCCCTGTCGGAAGAAGAGTCTCCTCCTGTCAGAGAAACTCTCTCACTGCAGACCAGATAGACTGTACAGGATCACACACAGCTCGTGTTAATTACTATCAAACAGGTAGTGGAAACTCGCTTTAGCTGTTGCTGTTGTGAGTCAGTTAGTAAAGTGTAACTGATTCCCTAAATTCTGCTCCCTCCCTGCAAATTTTAGAAATGCAGCAGATATATATATATATATAATTATATTGTTATTGTATTACTATTCTTATCAATATATTAATATTATATTATATTATTATTGTTATTATTATAATGATATCACTATCATCATCATTATTATTATTATTATTGTAAACATAGGATCTGCTGTCTCTACCCTTTTTGAATATCAGATATATATCGTATAGAAGTCCGGCATCTTTTCTTTCACAAATCTTCTGTCGGAAGCTCGTCTGCTGATAACATTAAGTAGAATTTGTATTTGGGTAGTAAAACCTGTATCATAGCTACATGTGTGACGTTCGGTCCAAAATTCAGCGAATATTTGCGAAGATTGAGGACTTCCTCTTTCCTTCGTAGGTTGATGCACCACTGCCTCTGCTAGCCCTGTTACAAGATGGCCGCCCTGTAGGCACGCCGCTCCACAGTCTATGTGGTCTATGCGGCGTCTATGTATATATGTCTGTGGTAGCAGCAGCAAAGCCATTCTCAGGATGAGAGCTGATTGGTTCGTCATGTTTACCTGGCTGCAGGTTATCGGTCCTGCAAGACTTAAATTCACAACCCCACAGCTTGTTTGTTACTACTCAGCACAACTGACAGAATGCTCCAAAGTTAATTTAATAAAGTTTACAAATCCATGTCACATCTGCTACATAAGAAGAACACTCACATATCTCTAAGTCAGTATCTCACGTGCACATGCAGACACCTGTTGGTACCTGTCCACCTACATAACTATGATAGGGAGAGTGTCAGACGTTATAGGGACACAAGAACAGTTGAGATGAGAGGACTGGTGGAGAAGAAAAAGAAACCTGAATTAACCTCTGCAGTAACATAGCTAAAATAACTGTATAATAGATGACTAAAAGGTATGCCTAATTCTTGGAAAGAGAGGAAATAATAAATGAGAGCATAGTTATATCTGAATTTCAGCAGCAACAGCTAAAAAGGGCACATTGCAAAAGCTTGCCTTAGATTTAACATAAAACTGGTTTGAAGGTTTGTGATCTGGCCTACAAAACAGTTTGTGAACAGCCTCAGCAAACCTTTTGACATGATGATAAAGCATTTGCTTGTGTTGTTTTTAGTCACCTGCAGGATAACTTCAGTCTTTTTAAAAGGAGCATAACGTGGTATTTCCATGGCTCTCTGAATAGATGCTATACAAATGCAGCCATTAAAAACCCAAACATTTTCCATTCAGTGTAAATGATTTTACTTATGAAAATGCTACTAAAACATTCATTTGGTGAGCATAAAACACAAAAAAACTGTTGTACAGTCCATGTTTTTTTTATCAAACACAAAGATGTAACAACATGTATATGTACAACCATGTACAGTGTTGAGTACAATTTAACAACAATATCAAAACACTTCATATGGCCGGGTAATTTGCAAACATGGCATACTCAAAGCTGCAACAGAGTTCATTTAAACATATTTGATCACTGTAACTAATAATATGACTATAAATACAAAATAACTTACCACATTAGTCAGTTTTGTTAGGTGAATATATGTTGTACATGTCGCCTATTATTACAGGTACTTTAAAAGAGTCCTCATAATACAATTTGCTTTTAATTACAGGTCCCCTAAGCGGCCGGTGTTAGTTGCCGGCCATATAAAATATTCTTTCACAAAAAAGTGCTTATCAGTAAAGCTGGCTACAAAATAAAAAATGGCTTCAAGTTGAAAGCCTCTCATGATGAATATCTCTCACATATGGTTTAAAAACAATAAATATCAGTGCCTAATAATTACATTAAGGTTAGTTAGGTTTAGTTTAAGCTGAAATGACCTTTAAATGGTTCAAAATACAATATCAGGATACAATGTTATTTAAACTTTGCCTGACATATCAGAAGATCAGCCACAATGTAATGTTAATAAAAAGTTAAGAACAATAAAAAGATATATGAAAAACATTAACAGATGCAAATATTTAAATATTTAAGTGCCAAACAATGCTGTAGTACAGAGAATACCCATGTTATGATTCAGACTATAAAATAAAATAATAAAACAAGACCTTGTGTCTGTTTACAACATTAAAAAATGCAGTTGGTAAACATTTGTTGTGAAAATATAGCAATTTTAAGATTCATGTATAACACCAACAATTTTACCCTGTAAAACACAGACATCAAGATTACCCTGTGAAAGAGATTTGTTTTCTTTCCTATCTTTGAACTCATCTAAATCAGAGAATACACACCAACTAAATGACCCAAAGACTATAGAATGATATAATCTGTTGCCTGTAGCTTCTGTCAGTCTTCATGTCAGTCAGGAGAGGCTGAACACAGGCCCGCTGTCCTTTTGCTCCAACAGCACAGAGGTCTCAAACAGCCCAGTTTGAACAAACCTCAGTGACATCAATGTTTTTCGGTCTGTCAGTAATGTTGACCTTTCCCAGTTGTCCAATGTAGTGCAGCTGTTCTGAGAGTTGATTGTTTGGTATCTTCTCTTGTTGTTTATATGTCTACATCGCACTTGTCATGTTATTTCTCCAGTGTCTGGCCTCATACATTGGCACTGGGAAGGTTTATATCTGGCTGTATATTCCTGTGGGAAAGAAACGATTTATTAATGAGATATTGGAATATAAACATATCATTGCATTAAAAAAAAAATCCCAGTACAAAGTGGCATCGTTGCCACAGAGAGAGACTGTCTTGCAAACATATGTTCATGGTGATATTCTGATCATAATTAAATGTAGTCTTTAAATTCAACATTAAAGTCTTCAATAGCTTTTTCTGTTTCATTGCACATTTTTTTACTTTCTGCATACAAATTGACTTTGGAATTTGGTTTACTGCTCATTCCTGCAATTGTCTATGGATGTCAGAGTGGAAGGAAACAGCTCACAGCATGTATTTAAACAAAGATGAGATGTAGTTTTGCTGCATATGGAAGTGAATGAACATACTCGTGTCTTGTAAGGGAGGCTTTGTCGCAGGTGATCTCTGTGAGCTGCCCCTCCTTACTGAGCGTCTGAACTCCTGCCTGTTGTATGCTGCCTCTCGGAGTGGGTATACCCTTCAGCTTCACTTCCCTGCACACACACAAAAGTTCAAAGTATGATGAACTTGATGGCCCACAAAAAAAACTTTCTATCTTGTGAAAATATACATGACACATGAATATACACACTCTCTTTTCCAACACCTACTTACCCATTAGTGGCTCCCTCTCCGTCTTCAATCATTTTGATGCCTGGGACTTTCTGTCCAAAGATTTTCACAGCAATGGTCATGAGCAGGCCGCAGTGATTTCTGTAGCAGCACGTGGCGTCTACCACCAGGAATGCCAACAGGAAGATCACCATGACGATGCCAACCACGGTGCCTTTGGTCATGCTGCGGCTGCTCGCTTCAGAGGGAGAGATGAGAGAGTCAAGATGACTAAGTGAAAGTGCGGCAACCACCTTGATTGTGGTGAGCAACACATTTTTGTTAGCGCTCCCAGTTCACTGTTTAAACCACATTTAGGGGGGTAGGGAGTAGGCGGCCACATACCAGGCTGTTCTGCGATGGTGAAGTTGAATGTGGCAGGGAGAGAGGAACCATTAGTATTGACGGATGTGACTTCCAGTTGATAGTTTGAGTCGAAAGACAGGTCTTTAAGGGAGATAGAGTCAGCATCGGGTGGCAACTGCATCTCTTTCCACTCAGCCCCCTCTTTATCCTGGTAGAACAAAAAGAGAGAGGATATAAGAGGACTTAAGGATGACAGTAAAGAAACAAAAGGATCAAAGAAGAGTAATGCACACGCAGAGACAGATTTGTACTGGCTCTTACCTGTCTGTATCGTATGTTGAAGTGCTGCACTGGACTTCCACCATCATCAATCTGTTTAAGTGGGGCAGAGAAGGAGTTTCTCTCTACTTTCATCTGATCAGATGAGATAACTGGACTATCTGGTTCACCTACAGACGGGAGGCAGAGAGAAAGGAAACAACTAAAGACCATGCATTCACATTTAATGAAGTCATGAATAATAATTAACACCTCGTGTTTTGATTGAGATATATTTATTTATACAGACTGAATGTTAGTTAATTATTTAATTTCTTAGTAGATCACTGTGCTGTACTTTACCTTCTGAGAGGGGTGACAGTTGATTACATGGTGTCAACAGGCATCAGGTGATGATGTTAGGATGATAATTGCATGAAAGATGAAAAATAAAAAGGCAGATGAGAAGGAAAAAAACCTTGCTTATCAGACATATACACGCTAGTATGCATGAATACTTGCACTTACACATACTGTACAATGTACATAAATAAATGTAAACACGCAAATATGTACACACACACACACACACACGCACAAGCTGCATATCCAGTTAATGCTGCACACATAGCATGAAATATGGATTTGGTGTGTATTGCTGATGTGTTGTTAGTGTGTGTAGCGCTTACGTTTTCCCTGGGTGCGGACAGTGTTTGTGTCTGAGAACTGTCCCACTCCCACTGCATTCAAGGCAGCCAAACGTACTGAGTACAATGTGTATGGCTTGAGGGAGGTGATGGCCAGAGGCTCTACAAAAGCAGACACACAGAGAGACACAACATCAGCTAATGTGCATAGTTCAATGTTATTTAGGTATCTATGTCAGAATAAAGTTTATGGTATAAGCTGTTTAAAGTATAAATGAACCACACAGCCTCTTTGAAGAGCAGAAGTTTTACCTGAAGCTGGTACTGTGATCTCCTTCCACTGTTCTGCTGCACTTTGCCTCCACTGCAGGACGAAACTCGTTATTGGTGTTCCTCCACTGATGGGCAGGGTTTTGAGGGAGAAGAGGACTGAGGTTGGCCCAGGTGAGACTGACAGGTAGATAGGGGGACTGGGCTGGGCTGTGGGTCAGGTTGAAGGAGGGAAGAGAGAATGAAAGAAGGAAAAACAAATATTGTATGTCAGATGCATCATTACAAGTAAAGATGAAATCTTCTTTTACTTCACCTCACTTTTTTCTTAAACACAAAGAAAGACATAAACTCTTACTGTGTATTGCAACATCTCTTGATGCATTTCCAGAGGTGCTGACCGCCATGCAGGAATACAGTCCACCATCAGAGGGCACCATGTCTTCAATCACCAACTCACCATCAACAACACGGACACGGCCAGAGGACTCCTGACAGAGGAAATGGGAAAATGGGAATATTTAATCACACACAGACCAAACATGAGTCTGTTAATGGATGAAACTGAATGTTGTTGGAATAGCTGGCAGTGTTTTGAATTTACAGTGCCAGTTTTATTATGTGCAGCTGTTGCATATGTGTGTGTCCATATCCTCTTACCACTGCCTGTCCATTGTGCTTGTTGAGCCAGTGTAGCTCAGGCTGGGGATGGCCAGTGACGTTACAGGACACAGACACACGCTCGCCCACTGATACACTCTGCTGCTCTGCTGACACAAACACCTCTGGGGCCTCTGAAATACAAACATACAAACATCTCTGTTATAGCGATATGAACAACAAAACAAATGCTAAGCAGCACATGTCAAAGTGTCAGTATAGTACAACAGGATAAAGTAACATGTCATCAGGTCTGAAAAGCAGGTTCATGTTTAGTGTACTCCCTGATGTTTGTTTTTGTCATGTGCTGATGGTGTTAACAGAAAAGAGAATATAGAACTGAACTAACCAAAAACATGAAGCATAATGGTAGCACTGCTCTCAGCTATCTTGTTGGTGGCGGTGCAGACGTACTCTCCATAGTCGGCCCTGGCGACAGACCTTATCGTCAGCTGGCTGCGGTCTGAGTTAAACACATGATGTGAAGGGTCTATCGTCGTTGGCCTGGGAGTAGGAAATGCAGGGAAACATAAACACTGAGTATTGCAGGGATTTGTTTTTTATCCACTTGGATTCGAAAGAAAGAGTTGTCCAGATATTTGCAGACACAACTTAATGGAGGATAGGAGAGAGAAAGAGGTCACAGAACATTAATAAAGCTGAAGAAGAAATGTTTGCTATAGCTTTGCACACGTGCGCACACACACACACACACACACACACACACACCTCTTTCTTGGACATTTCTTCTCCATCCACTACCACATAGAGAAGATGTAACGCTACATGACCTAGTTTATACTGAGAGTCAGGGGCACTTAGTGTCTGTCTAAACATCTGAACATTAACACAAAATAGCCCAGTTTTGTTGCTGATGATAGAATTTCCTGAGTTAAGAATGTATTTTTAAAAAAAGTGAACTGTAATGCAAAAGCTAACTGAAAAAGAAAATATATGTCATTAGAGTAGTTGTAATGTTGTAGTGTAACAGGTTCAACAGGTCCAGATCAGCTAAACTGATTCCATATTATACTTGAACATTATCGACATACTGATGCATAATGTGGCCTCCTGAACAAAATTTATGGAAATACAAAAAAAATTTAACCAGCTCTCCACAAGTCAAGACTTACACGGTCCAGGTGATGTTGGGTTTTGGTTGACCGTCCACCAAACACAGCAAGGAAACATTGGTTTCTGGTCCGGCCAGCACTTTTTTCACCTCTTCTCTCAGACGCACAGTAGGAGGTGCTGCAGGAGGGAATTTTGTTTTTACTTCAAATGATGCATAATTTAAACTTTAAATTTATTATGGCACCATTAGACTTAAATTAAAATACAAAATGTGTTTGTCAAGCAAAGTGCCTAGAGCATCCCTAACTATTACACTCAGTGTTAGTCACATATATCAGATTTTGCAAGAAGCCAGAAAGGATCTTTGTGCCTTAAATGATCTTTCAAACTTCTGGCCACTATTTAATCTTAATGTGGAAATGATTCTGACCATTGACAACAACTGAGATGGAGAGTTCCTGCAAGATGGGCCTTCCTTTGATCTCGGCATGACACAGGTATGTCCCAGCATCCTCCCTCCTCACTTTTTCAATACGGAGTGTGTTATCAGGCTGCTGACGGACACGCCTTCCTCCTGAAGTGAGAGACAGATGTAGAGACAGACAATGAGAGGCACAAAGAGTGATGGAAAGGCAGAGACAGACACAAAAACATACAAAGTTATGTTCTGGATGAAAGTCCAGAACACAAACCTAAAGCATATTTCTGTAAGATGTAAAAATAACATTCATCTATTTTACTTTTACTGTAAAGGTGACCTAATGGAAATGCTGACAAGAGCTAGATCGAACAATAAAAAACTCGCCCAGGGAGGTGATCCTACCATTTGAAGGGATTTCGTCCCCGTATCTGATCCACTTAACGACCACCGCTGGCCGCCCAGTGACTAAACATGGCACCAAAACGTCTGTGCCCTCCAGAAACTCATGGTAGGTGGTGGTGTGGCCAAATGATGGACCCTCTGACAAAACAGGAGAAGATACTTAAGATGCTTATTTTGCATGCAGTGAAGCAACAAAATGAGTGATATCATCATTGAAATAAATGGGGGTGTGATTCATTCAACACCTCATATGTTGAATGTTTTCAGCCTTAAACTAAAGATCTGTTGAACTGACCATTCAAGTATGTGTGTGCAGCCAGTTGTTACATACCATAAACAAACAGCTGTATCTGAGTGTTGTCTTTGTGTCCGCTGTCGAAATCACAGTCACAGGTATACCTGCCCGCATCCTCCAACGTAGCCTTTGGAATTAGAAATTTAGAGGAGGTTTCATCCACCTTTGACACCTTGTCCTCATCATCTATTTCTTCCCCGTCCTTCAGCCACGTTATCGCTCCATCTCCCCCAGCTAGGACCGGAG